TAAGTCGTTCGTGAGTTATAGCGTCGCAAACATGGAGCAAAATAAAGTGAAAATACTGCATATTTTACAGTACTACTACGATAAAGGCAAAAATGTATCTCAAGCCGCCAATAAAATTTGTGCAGTTTATGGACCCGATACAGTTTGCATTTCCACCTCGCGATGGTTTCAACGTTTTCGTTCTGATGCAGAGGTGGTCGAAGATGCGCCACGCTCCGGAAGGCCTTTCGTCGAAAATTGTGATAAAATCGCTGAATTGGTCGAAAGAGACCGGCATAATAGCAACCGTAGCATCGGTCAAGAGCTGGGCATGTGTTATCAAAAAGAATTTTATGAACAATTGAAAATTCAATAAAAATGCCGCAAAAATACCGCAAGACTTTTTTGACAACCTAATATATTGATGTAGTGTTCTGTTCAAGTTTGTAGTATTTTTCTTGAACTTGACGAAAAATTTTCACTTCCATATTGATATTTAATCAGTCATCAAAATTCCTTTAAGACCCACACCCACACATTTCTTTGATGAAATTTCATCGACTTATGAAAATTTGTATTTTCCCTTTGGATTAAAAATATATACACATGTATGTTTGTTATGAATCACTTTATTACCGATTGCCTGCGACCTCGGTATAATAACAAGTAGAGGATTGATGAAAAACAATTAGTTTAGTTAAAATATAAGACGGTTACAACATTAATTTTGCACACAATTTTGTTCTCTGCTCCATCCGTACTGTTCGGACGACGTCAACCATATTATGGTAATCTTTAGAAGCCACCTTTATAGTTATTGTTCTTGAGTGGGCACCGGTGGTAAGAGAAACTTGCATTCCACTGGTGGTTTGCGCTTCTTCCGTCGACGAGCTGTCAAGTTGGAACGCCTTCGCCGCAGTCTCTTCAGTTTTCGCTGCTCCATGGCTATGGTTCGGTACGGCCCCTTTTGCTCGTCCGTCATTGAATTCCATAAACGGCTTGCTGTCTTGACGATGCGAGCATTTACACGCGGAGACATCGAACCGCAATTTGACTGCATTAATTCGCCACCGTTGGCCTTCATACGAACCTCCGCTAGGAAGTTGAAAAATGGATTACGTGAAGCCGAATGTTCTAAGTGTCGTATGAGTTCACGATGTAGGGTGCTTGGGCTGAACGTAACCCGACGTGTCTTGCGATGCGTCGGTCGCACCAGCGATGTAAATACTTCGCACATTTTTTCCCATATGGTTGGCATATCTCGATTATCTCTCCGGATGGATATACGATACAATCGGAAACCAATACAATTCTTTGTTTAAAAGACGTACAAACAAAAATAAAAATATAAATATTGTATTTTTTACTGAAATTTCGTCGGCTAATGAAATTTTTTATTTCGTTAGACGTTAAAATAAAATTGAAATGATTTTAATGAATTGCTTTGTCCCTCTTGAGGAATAACAAGGTAACGTAAACAGAGCAGTATAGAAATGATTCCAGACAATATCAACATTAAATTTGCACATAATTTAGATATCCACACCATCCACATGAATATCCACATATCCACCATTACTGAGGGCCTCAATAACGCAATCGCAATTCCCAGAAGTCACGTTTACGGGTGTTCTTGATGGGCGGGCGGTGGCGGTAAAAGAAATTTACATTCGACTGGGGTTTTGTGTTCTCTTCGCCTGCGTGCAGATAGGTAGGAACGTCTTCGCCGCAGCCTCTTCAGTTTCCGCTGCTCCATTGCAATGCTTCGATATGGCTGTTTTTGTTCATCACTCATAGAATTCCACAAACGGCCTGCTGTCTTGACGATGCGAGCACTTTCCCGCGGCGACATCGAACCACAGCCAGGGTGCATTAATTCCCCACCGTTGGCTTTCATACGCACTTCGGCTAGAAAGTTGAAAAACGGATTAGGGGAAGCCGATAGTTTGGTGTGCCGAATGATTTCACGATGTAGGGTGCTTGGACTGAAGGTAACGCGGGTCTTGCGACGCGTCGGCCGAACCAGCAACGTGAATACTTCACACATTTTGTCCCAAATGGCTGTCATGGCTCAACTCACTCACAGGACGGTTGGATGGACAACACAAACGGGAAACAATATAATTTCTTTGTTAACACAGACGTACAAACAAAAATCAAAATATGAATATTGTATTTTTTACTGAAATTTGGTCGACTTATGAAAATTTTTTATTTTCTTTAAACATACAAATATAACTGAAATATTTTTCATACATCACTTTGCTCCCGGTCTGCCGTCATTTCGTAATCAAGGTGTATTCAATAAGGTGGGATTGATTTCACACCAGACAATTTTGGCAAATATAAAAGCAATAACCACACTTTTCAATCACAATATTCTCATTGGCGAGTACTTTAATTTTCTGAAACCATAAATTTGGTAAAGCGGTTTGAATTAAGCCGTCCGCGCTCTGATATATCGCCGAAATTTGGGAAAAAGGAGCAAAATGTGGTTCGAATAGATAGCGTTATTTGAAAAAAATACCACGTTAATTAACATATTAAGATAATAGTGTCGCTAGCGAATAGTTTTTCAAAGCTTTTTCTAACACTTATTACTTACCAGAAATTACCCTCATAGCCGTAAGGATGTTCGGGCGTTTGTGCCAAGGAGCCCGTCTGCTGCGTCAGACTTTGTTGCGAGTGCCCCGTGTCGACAGTCATATGCGAACGATTGGCGGAAATGTTATACTGCGTGCGCGGATATTGTGGCCGTTCCATCGTAGAATTCATTGAAGTTGCTAAAGAGTACGGAAAATAAAAAATATTCAGGTTTATAACGAAAATATTGGTAATGCTTGCAAGTAACGTACTCATATAACCGGGTACATAGGATCGTTTGTCGAGCGAATTGGTAACCGGCACTGGCGTATCGACATCGTATTCATGCACCACAGAACGTGGCAATGTTAAGGCACCGCTACTCGAAGCACCATCGCTACAAACTATAAAATGAATGTTTTTAATGTGCAATTGTTGATATGAAATAATATAAATGTATGAATATATATTAACTTTCTTGCTTACCAGGAGTTGTGCTGTGAATAGTCTTATCAATGTTCTTTAACTCCATTTGATCGTGATGTATCCATAGATCTGGCGGCTTCGGAACTCCAACATTTTGATAGCTACTTAAAAAAAAAATATATATATACATATAAAATTAAATAATTTCCTAAAAGAGAATCCCAATTAAGAAAAAAGTGCACTCACTCTTCGTACCTCTTCTTGTTGTGATCAGGAGTGGATTGGGGCTTTCGTCGACACAGTACCACCATGATGACCACAAAAATCAATACAATAAATGCAATCGCACCTGCTACAGAGTATATGATAATCTCATTACTGATGCCCTTGGCAATCGGTTTTGGTTCCTGCATCACAACTGCCGCCGGAGTCGTGTAAGCCACAAGCGCTGAAAAAGGCGCATTACTGGCGCCTTTCCCCACGCGCGCTTGCACTTTGAAGTAATATGTTGTGTACGGTTTCAAATTAGGCAACATCATCATAGTCTCGTCACCAGCGAATGCCTCGATGGACCAGTCGCGATCTCGTTTCGTTGTATCGGTTGTGTAATAAATGTTGTAACCGGTTATTTGACCAAGGCTGTGTTTCGGTGGCAGCCATTGTAAAATGACAGTTTGTGGATTCTGTTCATCAGGTCGTACTGTGAGCTCACGTGGTGGTGTAATTGCTACATTTTGATAGGTACTATTCAACACTGACATGGACCAAGCCGACTCACGACGCCCCTTCACCACTTTAACAGCGAACTCATACTGTGTATTCGGACGCAGATCATTAATCATGCAATTGAGGTCGGTGGTGTTGTGATATCGAAAACGACTAGAGCCGGAAATGCCAAAACGGACGGTGTAGTGACGATTATCGATGACATGTTGATTTTTACTCAGCATTGTATCTATCCAGTAGACGACAATGGATGAGCTGGACATGGTGATGGCTCGCAGGCCGACAGGCACTTCAAGCGGCATCGGCATATCGACCGGTTCCTCGTCACGTGTTTTAATGTTGTCATAAATTGGTTGACCGTCACCTTTACTGTTGCGTGCACGCAGCGAAACCACATATTCCGTATTTGACTCCAACTTTTTCAATACATAATAGCGTTCGGATTCTTTTAGCTCAATGATGTTTTCATCGGGTATTCCACGACCCCAGCCCAAAACATAACTTCGAATCTTGATTTCATGCTGTTGCGGTGGTCCCCAATGCAAAGCGATGTTATCACCACCGGGAACTATGTTGATCCAAACTGGTTTACCAGGCACCTGTGTCTCATCCAGATCATTTTCTAAAGTCATAACGCGATTCCATTCTGTGAACGGGCCCGAGCCATTCACTGTCATAGCGGCAATTTTTATTTGATACTCTGAGTGTCGCTCAAGTCCCTTCAATTCGAAGTAACGTATATTCGCTGGTGTGCTCTTCACTTGTGGTGTGTCTTTAAGTTTACGATAGCGAATCTTATAGCCGGTGATTTGTCCATTTCGCTCTTCCTCGGCTGGAGGCTCCCAGTGCACGGTGACGGACTGAAATAGGATTAATGTATAAATAAATATGACACACATTAAAACAAAGGTCTGAAATATACATTTTCAAAACAAAAGTTTATGTGTTTAGAATACGAGCTTACCGTCGAACTCGTTACTTCAAGTGTCACATTATTGGGGGGCTCAGTTGGTGTGGAGGAGTAAGTCTTGACTTTTATTTCATTCGACGGGTCGCCCATGCCATTCTTATTGAAAGGCACTACGCTAATAGTGTAATCGGTATATGGACGAAGCTCCGAGATTACAGCACTCAGCGAGGTGCTATCTTGATACATCTCAGCACCACTGTCATTCTGTGGAAAACGTAAAAGTAAGTATATTTCACAAAACTTGTGACTTTTCACGGCTACGAACCTCAGAATAGTAAATCCGGTATTTCATAATCTCTCCATTGGTTACGATCGGAGAATCCCATTTTACAAAAATCTCTCTTTCGCTAGTCGCCAGTCCTTCGACGTTGCGTGGTGGACCAGCAATATTCTCCTCCGGTTGAGTGCGCACCTCCAATACCTAATAAAGTTTGGCAAAACTTATTTTTATTTTTCATTTCAATTTGCATTTATGCAGGATGTACCTCTGAAGAATCGCCGGGACCAAAATTTGTATTTGCCACCACACGGAACTGATAGGTTTTTCCAGGCAGCAAATTTTGGATATTCACCTGTTGGTCATCGTGCGATTTGGTTACAATTTTCTGTTCGCTGCATAAAGAGAACGCGACATCATTTTAGCATTAACAAAATTAGTTCCAAGTAACTGTCGATATGCAAAGACTCTAAATAGTTTTTCATTAAAGGCTTTTGAGTATTTAGCCAATTTAAATTTTCAGCCATTTCCAGGGCTATTAGCTTGATGTCTACATTGCTTCCACGCAAGTGATTATTTATTTGTCATCTACCCATTACAATTACCGTTAGAAGCGACACAGACAAAGGCCGCAGTGTCTGCTTAACTAGATTCGGCGCATTCATGTGCTTTTAATTTGACAAAGTAGAAAAAGAATGCAAAGTGATTGCGGCCAAATGAAGGGCTGGGAGGGGGAGCGCGGCAAATTGCTTTTGCCAAAACAAGGAAATGCTGCTTGGCAATTTCGCAGAAGATGCTGTTAGATGAAGTTATTGAATTTACGGTCGATGCATAAAAGCCGGCGAAGACAGACTGATTTCGAACGACTTCTGCTGATGACGCCTGAATGAGGTGTGAGGTTGGCTCCCTCACAAGGATAATGGATAAAAAATGGCAGCGATGAAAGTAAAACGGCGTCGGCAATATAATTTTCATTACTGCCTTTCGGCATAGGCTGTTCTGTTTGCCAATTTAAGCGGCCTTTTCGAATTACATATGCATTATAAGCGAATAAATGCCAAAACTATATATTTTACAAATGTATTTTCATTGCGGATATTAGATTCTACACGTAAATACTATAAATGGCGGAAATGAATGTATTGTACCTCTCCTTTTTCTATATTACAATATTACAAGCAATAATATTTGAGGACAGTAAATCTTGAGCAAAAACTGTTTTGTGAGAAAACAGGCGGACTCATACTGCCCTAATCTAGTATAGGACCTTCATCAGCTCAATTAACACAAGTGTTGAAGTGAATGGCTAATAGTCTAATGAAGGGCATGCTACAAATGACTCTCTTTCACTTACCGTTCGCTGTTGCTCATTTTATAAAATACTGTATAAGACACAACTTCGACCGGGTTCTTCTTCGGCTCCATCCAACTGAGTGTTACGAAACGTGGTTTCACTATTTGCGCAACCACGTCGTGCGGCGGTCCCGGTAAACGGCTCAAGACAGCACCGTGGATATGCGTAACTCCGCCACCGGATTGTGGAATGTCTACACCGCCGTCTACACTGCCAACGCCAGTTATGCCAATGCTGCCTTCGAGTCCATCTAAATCTGAGGATAAGTAGGAGGAACTTGATGACGCCGCTTGTGAATTGGATGTGGCTGAGGATAATTGTTTCTTATTTTTATTCTTCCAAGAGTTCAGTACTTTATTGGGATCGTCACCGTGATTGTAGGCATCAATGAATTCTTGATTGTCATTTAAATCGTCATATTCGTCTTCGTCCTCATTGTCTTCGTCATCGTTGTTGCCGTCATCACCGTTAACGCCTACGTTGAACTCGTGTGTACTTGTGGGCAGCTCCACTGAACTGTCCGTATCTTCCATGTCCAACTGTTCGAGGTCTTTCAGTGAGGCAAATTCACCATAGCCATTATCATTTTGCGGTCTCTCAGGTCGTGGCAGTTTTCTGCCTCTCTGTGAGAGTAAACTATCCAGCGCGCTTTTGGAGAGACTACGTGTCGATCCCATTGAATTGTCAATGGCATCGCCGAAAGTGTCAAAAGGATTAATCGCCTTAGAACCACCCCCCTTGCGTCGGCGCATAGGTGAAGCTGACGGCAGTAATGGAGATTTGGGTGTTTGGGAAGCGGAAGTGTGGTATTTTTTGGATTTGCCTTTGGGGTTCAGGTCAGGATGGATGATGGCGGGAATGTGCACAAGACGTGTTGGAAATGCAAATGCGTGTCATAATACGAAGTGGTGAAAAGAAAAAAAGTGAAATAAAAAGAAAATCGAAAAAGAAATTAATTTAAAAAAAGTTGAAAAGAAATTTTTATGAATATTTTTCAATTTACACATTTATAAAATAAAACAAAATATAAAACTTATTAATAAGCAGTGCGAATTTACCGACCAATAAAGAACACATTTAAAGCATATTCATTTCTCACAATTTTGCGAAAGTAATAAGCAAAGCAAATAATGTAATAAAATTCAAATTGAATTCGTTTGCTATGAGCGGAGGGTTGTAAAATTTAAATTATGATAGTTCTAGTTCTAACTTGTGGAAATAATATAAATAAGAGCTTTTGGTATTCAAGTAATGGGCTAACCGGATAGGGCATTATTCGAATAATAATATTCGGTTTGCTGTATGCGGATAATCATAATAATGTAATCGGTTTTCAGGTTATTAGAAAAATATAAAGAGGCCTAATATAAAAGTCGGACTCCTATATTCCTCAATACTTGCAATACTTTTATACTAATGAGAAAAAACACAATCTTTGATAAGAGTGTACAGCTGCTAATGTATTCTGATGATATTCATATCATTGTCACAACAATCATAACTTCGAAGTTGTAGATAATTTCGTTTATCTTGGAATCAGTATTAACACCCACAACAAAGTATTCGACGCTGTACCCGCCGGGGGAAGCAGAGGAAGAGGAAGACCTCCACTCCGTTGGAAGGACCAGGTGGAGAAGGACTTGGCTACGTTTATCCAATTGGTGTCGCGTCTATTTTAAATCCACTGAATCCATTATAGAAACACTTGTAGAATGCACGTAAATTTCAAGCTTTGGATAAATGTTTTTGGCCAAAACKCATAAAATAGTAGAAACTAATAAAACAAATTTATTAAATGATAGTTTTTAACTTTGGAAGGTTGTCGCTTACAGGGATAATTAGTAGTCTTGCTAGTTTAGTAATGTTATTGTTATTTAAGCCAGTTGCGTATACGTCCAATTCACAGAGCTTTTACTCTTTTAACACAAAAAGCATAATTTTGTTCTCTAAAAGCGCTTCGAAAYTTTACATTAGTTTGTACATAACGGAGAAGTACTGTTAGTTCATATAYACAAGTAGCATATTAACTGTAAAGRCATAAAACTACTTTTCTACTCACCCGTTTGAGCGACGCGCAAGCGTGCCGCCGCTTGAACACTGCCAGCCGGATTGGTGCCAACACATTGGAACATGCCGGCATCGGATTGCAGCAGGCCGAAAATGCGTAGATTGTGGCCACCTACTAGTTGCATGTACGTGTTGGGCGTGATCACATCACCGTTCTTCAACCACTGAATCAGCGGCTTAGGTTTACCGCGTATCGCGCACTCCAGCTCTAACTCCTCTTTTTCGTGAGCTGTCTTGTCTTTTGGGCTCTTGATGAACTTGGGCGGCACCAAAACTTGCACGGTGGCTTGCGCGTCAAGTGAGTCCACTGTATTACTGGCACGACACTGATAGTTCCCGGAGTCGATGTCTTCGGCAGAAGAAATTTGTAGTGAGCCCGTGCCGATGATGGAGAACGGCGAGTCCAGATCGCTAAGATCGAGTTCCGCGCCATCGCGCAACCACTTAATTTGCGGTTTGGGAACACCATTCGCCACGCAATCCAAAGTGACACTGTCACCCTCTTTCACGGTTTTCGGCGAAGGTCCCACAAGAAAAGAGGGCGCAACCAAACTTTCACTGCCTGGATCAGTGGCCTTTTTGATATTCAAGCTGGTTTTGCTGCTTAAACGAGATATGCTACCGGAGGTTACATTACACTGGTAAGCGCCGCGATCACCAATGCCGACCTCATCTACTTCTAGGGCGCCATTCGGCAGCACCACCATGCGCAATTTGTCCAGCACAAGCGGCATGTCATCCTTAAGCCATTGTACTATGTGCTTAATACCCGGCTGAACTTGGCCCACCATGCATCGAAAATACGCCGTTTGGCCAGGTAGTAAATATGTTTCGATAAAGTCTTGATTTAGATCGGGCAAACGTGCTATGGACACGACTGCCGCACGACTAACAATTGTACCAATGCCTTCAGCGCTGAGCAGACACTGATAGGAGCCGGTCAAACCGCGATTCTCCTCCACAGAGCTTATATACAATGAACCGTTACTCAGCTGATTGCGGAATGTGTCTCCGACGATGCCCAAGTCCTGCCCATCGGGCCCCCGCCAACGTATAATCGGTTGTATTTTGACGGACTTGCCGTTTTGCGCCACGCCACCGCATTGAAGCAGCACCGAAAGTCCTTCCGGCACGACCACGTCCTGAGGTTCAATTTTGAAGGTGAGCGCTGAAAAAAGAAGAGAAACACAAAGGAAATAAAATGCATATTCATTGACAATATCTAACAGTGAATGAATTGTGCAGAAAAGTAAAGGAAACACAAAGAAAACGCAAGAATCATTTACACATATGCCAGCAGTAGCAGCACAATCATGATTTATTAATGACTACATTCACTCACATAAGCGGACATGTGGGAGGAACTGGCGAAGAAACGAACGTAATGGCTGCCTGCGGCTTCATTATACCACTCGATGCGCCGGCGATAGGGTGGACCACCCTTGTTCGGCCACCTGGGTACATATGTACATACATATGTACGTACCGTTATGTAGACGCATATGCCACAGAGAATTGTTCAGATGTTTTGCACACAAAAGAAACCCTGACCCCAATTTTTGCATTCAAGTAATCCTGTTTTAAGCCCACCGTGGAGAGTGGGCTGGAGAGTGCAATTCGCTTGATTGCGAGGTGGCGTTAGCGGCTCTTAGGCTGCATATTGCTTACGGGGCGAGGCGAACTGCCAACCATGTAAACATGATGAAACAATTGGTGCAACACAAGCATGAGTGCAGCTGATGCATATGCCTGCCGGAGCTGCAGCTCTCGCTGATATTTGCAAGTCCTTAACACATTGTTGGCCTTTGTTAGTGTAGGCTTGCTTTATTTCAGCGCCCGAAGGATGATTGCAGTTGACATATTTTTCGAGCGATTCCTATAAAGGGCTCCCAGATCTCACTTGTTTTTCTACTTTACAATATTGCCGCCCCACCAGGGAAAGTCCAGCTGCTTTACCTTTAAAAAAAGCTAAAGAGCTTCATTCAGGCGGTAGTTTCGAAACCCTAACTTTTGAAACTGATGTAAGTGCGATTTTCGGGGGGTCTAAAATTTTACTCAAAATACCATAACGCAGATACGCTGAGTGTGCGTTGAGATATGCAGATATTCCTATTGGGTATAACACACACACGTACATATACATTTGTAAATTACATATTGCTGAACTTTGCAACCCCTTCAAAGCGACCTTACACTTCTCGTTTGGTCCGTACTCAGCTGGGAGTGCAACGCAACACTTTACATTTAAATTAGCCGCACTTGCGTTGCAAGAATGAGTATGAAGAAGGTATGAGGATCTCATACTCGCGAAAATGCTCAGCGTCAACAATGATAATGTTAAGCAGATTGTTTGAATAAGCTGCGGACAAAGGCGGGTAACGGTTATTCATACCGCTACCACCAATGGCCACTTTTCATTAAAGCCGTTAATTTAAAACTGTTGATCCCGATGATTAAGCCCTGGCTTGCAACTTAACGGTAAAAGGGGATTTTCGACTTAATTAATGATATGATGGCAGGGGCATTGAGGGGTTTTGATTGTGCTCTGGAAAAATTGGGGTTGCCAAGCTTTCAAGTGTAAATGATTTTGGTGAAAATCAAATCAAATGACGAAGTATCTACCGTTTTGAACTGAACCATATGCTTGGTTAAAGTAATGGAGGTGGATAAAAGTTTTTAAAAATAATTATTTAAAATACATTGTGACACAAAAGTGCCGCAAATTGGAATTAAATTCCACGGGTAAATGATGTTTCAAACAGTGATTTAGTTTTATTAAAAATACAAGTCTACGAATGGCACCGAACCTTCATGCCTCGTGCTGGACGACCTTCGGCCTTTTTAACTGATGAAAATATTAGAAAAGTGAAGGATGTCAGGAAAGTGCTAGAGTGATGATAATAGAGCTCGACATCCCTCGCGAGTCCGTTCGAATGATTTTGGTGAATCTTTTGGGCATGAAAGCCATGCTTTCTTGACACGGCCCGGTAAAGCAGATTTCTTTTTTCAAAAAAAGTACCGTAAAAAAGTCTCTGGACATGCTGCCAAAAAATTCTTTGTTTCGAGGTCTGGAAAGRTCGTTGGCATAAGTGTATTACATCTGGTTGGGATTACTTTGAAGGCAAATAKTGACGATTAATTAAATAATTGTGCCATGTGAACTTCAAAGAGTCAAGAATAATTGTTTAATAAAGTACGATATTTACGGCTCGAATAGTAAATAAAACATTCAAAATATATATTTCACATATTTTAAAACAAATCTTTATTATTGCCTTTAACATAGGCTCCTGAGCCAATACGAGATGCCAAAGCTTAATCAAATTTTCTATATCCTTGTTATAACCCCCCGCTGGGATAGCTTTCAGTGCTTTTGGCGAATTTTGGATTTTCGGTTTGGTTCATTTTTGGAGGGCCTTTAATCGATTTTAAAAAGTTTGGATGTCAAGTTCATAAAGCACCGTCTTGTAACCTGTAACTAATCAATAGCAGATGAATGTAGACTTCAGCTACATTGTCAAGCATCTTCGACTTCATTTTTGCAAAAGATTCAGGTCTTTTGGCACGAGTCTAGCATTGACACGCTTATACCCAGAATTTTAATGGAAATYTTTTGAAATGATTTACAAGTATTAAATGGACCAATCCGGATCATATATGATCCTAGTATATACTTTAAATAGGCAAGATTTTCGTAGATTTACTCGGAAGTGTCAGAGTTTACAAAGCTTACAAGAGATCCAATGTTTATGAAGCGCATCCTTATCAGAAGTAATTTTTTAGAATACATTTTATATATAATCTAATTAAATTGTAGAYGCATTCTTATTTTGTATGGATGTATTTATTTCCATTCGAAAAATATTTCTTCATGCCTTCGGTTTTTCTATTTCACTTATGCAAATTCATCAAAGTGCTACTTGAGACCACGTTCAAAGACAACAGCGATGCACTCTGAAAGCCTTCAATATTTTAAATAACGCAAGCGTATGCAGCCGATGCGATCAACTTTAAGCTCATTGCATATGCAACAGTCTAAACATTTATTCTCCTAATTTCAGCAAATCCTTTACGACGCCTTAAGACCCGGCCTGGCCAAACTTAATCACACAAATGAAGCATAATTTAGATTAGTCATGCCGTTGCCGTTGCCACTGGACACCGCTGCTGGACAACAGCAAACGAACACAAACAGGCACACATACGGCGTAAGCACACTTGTGTGGTGAGGCCAACACAAGTGATTGCATGCGCTGCCCGGCAGAGATCAACTGACACCAGCAAACAACAAACAAACACACAACTATGAGTATCTATTGGCAATCTAGGCAATGCTGCACACACACACACAGGCAGTCACCGGCGATGCTTAGATATCACATGTGGCAACACTCGAACGCCGTCGAACGCTGGAGCAACATGCAACTGCAAGCGCTTTCGATGTTGGTTCTGTGCACACTCACGTACACACACACAAATGCTGCAGCAACAGTTCGAGTGCCTGCAGTTGGCGTGGTGTGGTGTGGCACGGCGTGGACCTCCATCACTGATAAGTGGGCGTTTAATGAGTCTTGTATCAATATTTGCAGCGCCTGCTGCCTCCTCCCTCCAGTCCAYACGCCGAAGCACAGCTACCGTTGTTGATTTTCACACATACACACACACACTCGGTTGCGGCTTGCTGTGCTTTGGTTCGCCTTTGCAGCTGCAGTTGCATGCATAATACTAGACCTTAAATGGGATTTACTTAGCTGCAGATTTCGATTAAACGAACGTACGCCGCAGTGGACGCGTGCAAAAAGGGCTGTTGGGCTGTTGCCAATCTGTGTGATGCTGCCAATGCTGGTGCTGCATAACTAATTCGAGAACACGACGCTGGCGAACGTTCGTCTATGAACGTGCTAGCGGCCCATTGGCAGGTTTRAAGCAAGAAATTAAGGAACTAATTGCGAGCGTTGCCACCCAGCATCTTATGCCTAGCATATTAGCTGTAAATCCGTTGCGATTTTGCTAACACAAGCGTCATTGCAAATTAAACGGCTCGCCGAGTGCATGCAACATGCAACTTTTATTGATGCCACACACACTACACACACACACGATGCAAGTACGTACACATAAATATAAAAAAAAAACTTTGAACCACTCGGATTAAAAATGTATTGGAAGTTTCGAAATTATGGTCCTCAGCGCTCTATTGAGGAACTTCCAATTTTTAAGCATGCTCAGCGGCCMATCGTGCAACTTTTAGCAATCGACATTTTAACTTTGACTTCTGCGGTCATTGCACCAACAAGCCTCTCGAATGAGTTGTTGTAATGCCACTTGTCCATTGCTTAATCGCTTAAGCAAACTTCGGTAATGATTTTCGTTATGTTGAGTTAATTTCAAAAGCAGTACTTCAAATGGGAATTTTAATTAAAAAAAAAAAAAACTAAAAGTAGTAAAATAAAACGACAAGTGAAAAGCAATTGTTAATGCCAATTTGCAAGCTTGAAAGGCGCATCGACTAACTTTTCGCTGTAATGGATTAACCAAATAACTCAAAGTTCGTGAACTTAGACGGTTGCCACATTAAAAAACGCTCTGACTTCTCTTTAATCATGCTTAACGGTGTTAAATAATATCATCGACTTTATTTTTGTCTACATTCATGAATGAGCAGCGACATACAAAGAACTGGTGTACCAAATTATAATCCAAAGGAAACAAAACTGGTAGCTATAATAACAATTATGTTATCTTGTGCGCACAGAAAACTGTTTTGTAGATGTATTAACTGTTAACACTACCAACAACTACCTTGCCAAGCTCTCTCTCCTCTCTCTTTTTCTCGCGGATGGTTATTTTGTTTCGAAAATCATTGGAGAAAAATAGATCTTAGTAATATTTCAGTTAAACTTGCTTGTTATACTCATGCTACATATYAGACTGACCATTTGCTGTCAAGAACTGTCAAAAAAGACAGGCTCAGTTGCCACTTCAAAATCTCTATTTGACACCGAATTGTCTGAGCCACCATGGGATCTAACCCATCCAAACCCATCGCACAACCCAGGGAAGGGGATGTTTCGAATTCTCACTTTAGCTCGCCCTAAAACGGATGTTTTTTGGCTACCTAAAGTATGCTTGGTTTAAGACCGTATGTAAAAAATTGTTCTGGCCACT